CGGGGGAACAGTGAAGAAATAGAACTGAATGAGCAGGTTGACTCGCTGGTTTTATAACGCATTCCCGTGACGTGCTTGTTAAATCTTTCCGATCACGTTGAAGAACTGTTCGGTTCCTCTAAACTTGAAAAGAACAGTTTCTTATTCCTTCCCTCATAATCGCTTCAGTCATGTTTTTTCATTTCCCTCAATTTTTTTTTTCCTAGCAACCGATCACCGTTCCTCTTCCACTCACTGGCAAAGGAACATTTTCCTGTCACGACGCGTCATTTTCTCGGCGTCCTTGCCGCCGTCTGCCCGCAGCAATTCTCCCCGCTGACAAACATGGCGCTCGCATCGCGTCGGGCTGGTGCTCGGCGAGCGTTTAAAGCGCAGCGAGTGCTGTTTGCAGCAGGAACTCGCTAACGCGCGGCTTATTGAGTTTCTATTGATCTCTAATACAATCACAAGCGACTCCTTTTAAAAAAATAAAAAAAAAATAACCCCAATCCCTTTATGGAACAAGCAACTTTTACCACCTCAAGCCCATTGTTCCACTTCCCAGTGGATTACCCACTCGAGTATCGACTGTGTACAGTCTATGCTAAAGCGTGCGAATAATCCCATTAAATTGTGAGGGGTTAGGGAGCAGCCCACTGTGACTAGACGAAAGGGAGGTTGCTGATATCTCGGCGGATCATCCTGTCAGGACACATGACAAGTGAATCACGGTCCAAGATTACTGGTCGGAGATAAAAAAAAAAGTGTGGAGTACAAAATAGCGGAAGCACAAATACTTACTCTAAAGGATCTGTACTGTGATTTAAGGACAGAGGATGATCGAAATCAAACTGCGTCTTACGTATGTAGCGACGATCCTCTCGGTGCGCTTGATTTGCCGGCGGATCTCGCACTGGCTGGGCTGCAGCAAGGTGATGCCCTCGTCGGAAAACACGTAGAACATGTTGCCCACGCTCAGACCTGCGCAAACAAGACGGGCAGCATCAACGCGGTGGGCTCAAGGGCGAAGGATTAGCTCATCAATTAACACCAAAGCTTCTCTTTAAGTCACCGCGTAAAATCGCTTCAGTGTAAAAATCCCGCATTAGCCGATTCTCCAAAAATTTGAATTCTATTAGAGGCACAAGGTGGTGAATTTCCCAAAGGCGAGTGGGTGTGGCTAGGACTTAACCTATTCAACTTTACGAGGAACCGAACCGTATCGCCAACACCCAGTGAAATTTTAAAACCAAACCGCACCCAATCGTAACCCGACCAAGCCTAACCCAGATAAAACCCAGTCCAACAACCCGTACAAACCCAGTCCGAACTCTAACGACGAAGCCTGACCCGAATCCATAACACACAAAGTCCTAACCCTCCTAAACCCAATCCGAACCCGACCAACCTCAAACCCAAACGCTGACCAAACTAACTCAAACCCAGCGCTAATATTAAATGCAGATCGGGTTGTAAAATATCAGCTGGCAAACAACAACCTCGGGACCAATCAAGTCACTTTCGAATCTTTTCGCTGGCGTTGACAATCTCGCCCCAGGCGGCGCCGTCGTTTTGACGACGTCAAACATCTCCGTAATTGAGGTACGTCCCGTCACCCTTCAAGAGGTGTCGTTCATCGACCGCCATCTTTTCTGCGTGCGCACGGCCGACTCACGGCAGCACCGCTGTACATTAACGTTATTGCGCAAGCCTCATTAAGTCGGATTTTGCGCATCTTAAACGCACGGCGTCGAGTCGAGTGAGCGCCGTCTGCTCTCCTGCCACCTTGTCAACACATCACATTTGTAACAACAACGGCCCGCGTACGTTGCCTAACAGCCCGAAACTGACAGTCGGCCGCGGCGGATGCTGCGCTCCCGTTGATGAATGCGCACAAAGCATCCCCGTAAAACACATTGCGGGCGGCGGCGCGCCATAAACAGCAGTAAGTCTCGTATGGATGGAGGGAGGCAGCCTTGTTGTTGTTGTTTTTTGTGGTCATAATATACACAGCGTCCAGACAGGATCGGATGCTTTCCGCAACAGTGGAGCTGTGAGCGCTAGCGACCGGGATAACCAAACAACAACAACAACAAAAAAAAACAACAAGAAAGGTTGATTGTGTGCGAGCGTCAGTTGATGAAATGCATTCCTGGCAGTGTGCGAGGCAGGGGGTGGGAGGGGTGGGGGTGGGGCGGGGGTGAGCCGGTGTTTCTTGCGGACAACACAGCACATATACTGTAATTTATATGCATTGAGCGGCCCGGGAGAGGTGCACCGGCACCGCGTGCCAACTTGATCATATGAATACAAAAAGGAGTTGAGATGTATTTACCTTCCTCTCGCCACAGAATGTTTGCCACTGAAACACAAAAGGAAGACACGGACTTGAAACGGATTTGTTTTGGCTACTCGGGTATAGCTCATTAAAAAAAAAAAAAAAAAAAGAGCACTGAGCATGAATTCGAGTCGCACATTTTCTGTAGAACAACAACAACAAAAAAAAGACTTAGTTGAAATCTTGTGCCAATGCTAGTTTTGAAGTTACGATAGGCAAATGTTCACATACGAGTCGCAAATTTGTGCAATTCGTGGTCCCAAACCCAAGTGAATAGCACGACTTTTTTTCTCATCAGGCTTCTTAGGTTTCTTTTTCTTTTCTTTTTTTTTTTCCTTACGTGTCTTCTTGGCGGAATCTTCCACAAACAGCGACGAGATGTCCTCATCTACGCCCACCTCGTTCTTGGCGATGCAGGTGTAGGCGCCCGTGTCCTCGTAGCGGACGCTGCCGATGAACAGCTCGCTGCCGTTAGCTAAAACGAAGGGTACCGAAGAAGGAGAATTTTGCAGGCATGTTATTCTTTGGACTTGGGCCTTGCCCAAAAATGCTCTCAGAATATTTTGCAAATTCGGCAGTTCGGTGTAGCAACATGCAATTTGGTGGACGTGTCTATCAAGAGTAGAAAAAACACACAAAAAAAGTCTCAAGAAGGCATGCCCGATGTTAATTTGATGTCCGACGACGACGTTTCGAAGGAGCGTGCTGCGGGGAGACATTGGGGGCACTGTGCCCCCAACGTCTCCCAACGTTAACCTCCTCGCAGGAATAACCTTGGACCGCTTTTAATGTCAGGCTCAAGACATTTTGGGATGTTTTACGACTTATCAATGGTGGAGTTTGTGTTAAAAAAAAAATGCATTCAGTGTTCGAATGACGAGGACAGATGTCATTCTATGTCCTTTTTAATGTTAGTTAAAAAGGTAGTTTTAAGTTGAAGAAGGCCTGAGGGTTCCTGAAGAAAAAGTTGGCCATGAAAATCCAATAGTGGATTCTCGTCGACTTCCAAAAAAACGAAGAGAGATGCAAATGCCCAAAAGGAAGCCGCGCTTACCTTTGAGAGAAAGCTGCTTGGCGGAGCGCGGCTGCAGCTCCACGCCGTTCTTCAGCCACACCAGCTTGGGATCGGGGATGCCGTCGGCGCGGCAGTGCAAGCTGGCCGACACGCCGGGCTCCTGGGCCTGCGTCTCCGGGTACACCAGGATCACCGGCGGGACTGTAACGCGCACACAAGACAGCGGGGGGGGGAGG